TGCCCCCTCACAGGTGTCTACATTTCAAACGAAATTTTCTTTTCTTATCCAAGATTAAAAGTCATCCCTAAGGTAAGTGGCAGTTGCTTAATCATAAGTCTATAAGCAATCTCTCGTAATAAGAGAAACAAAGCATGGATCCAACAAGGCATTCACTAAGAAAGGTCTACATCATTGTCGTTTTAGAGCTTACATAGATAACCAACCTAGTGGAATCTGTGAAAAAGATAAAATTTGACCCACGTTTTAACTAACTCCAAGTATAATAAGTAATACACTTTGATACTACTTTTAAAAGTCATATATTGTTGTTATACTAATCGCAAATATTATCTACAGCACTAAAAACCCAATGGCACTGAGTCAATTCTGATTTGTAGCAACCCTAAAAAGCAGGGAAGAAGGAATTGCCCCTATGGGTTTCTGAGATCCTAACTCTGAAAGGGAGGGGATGGTGGTTTTGACTTGCTGACCTATGGCACAGAAGGGGGTTAAACAGCCTAATGTTAAGCAAATGCATAACAAAATGCTTAGTATTAGGATTATCCCTGGACTCAAAAAGTACTCCTCTCCAACACAAGATGAACGTGATCAGTGGCATGCCTCAGACCTTGGAAGATGATTGGAAAGCTAGCTCTGAGAGTAATAGACACTGATATCAAATGTGATTAGAAAAATAAATATTTCTAAATTTATATATACACATATACTTGTATAGGTAAATAATTTTCTTAAAAGCTACTTAATTAGTGCAAGTTTATATATATATTCAAGTTGGTCAATAAATTTTGGAAGCAATTTTTGTCAGCAGGAAAATGGAAGATTTTTAGATCTGATGTCAATTTACATTTGAGTATACATACATAGCATCAGATTTTTTTCCCTTTATTTTTTTAGTTTTTATTTTATTGGGGGCTCTTTAGCTCTCATCAAAATACATATATATATATATAATCTATTGTGTCAAATACATCTGTACATGTTATCATCTTTTTCTTTTTTTTTTTGTTATCTTTTTCAAAACATTTTCTTTCTACTTGAGCCTTGGTATCAGCTCAATTTTACCCCTCCCTCCCCTATGTCCCCTTGATAATTTATAAATTATTCTTTTTTCCTATATCTTACACCGACTGATGTTTCCTTTCACCCATTTTTCTGCTGTCCATCCCCCTGCGAGGGAGCCCATATGTCGATTATTGTGATGGGTTCACCCTTCCTTCCCCACTTCCCCTACCCTCCTAGTATTGCCGCTCCCCTTATTGGTCCTGAGGGGTTTATCTGTTCTGGATTCCCTGTGTTATGAGCCCTTATCTGTAGCAGTATACATGTTCTGGTCTAGCCAGATTTGTAAGACAGAATTGGGGTCATGATAGTGGTGGGGAGGGAAAGGAAGCGCTAAAGAACTGGAGGAAGGCTATGTGTTTCATCAGCGCTATACTGCACCCTAAAGGGCTCCTCTCTTCCTTTGGCCCT